AGTGAATTTAGGAAGCTTTCAGAATGAAAGTTAGACTGCTTGCACTAAGAAGCGTAATTTACAACAGTGTACATTTTTCGGGTTGCATGACTTGAGGGCAGGACAAAAAAAAAAAATCAGCCAACAGTTTGGAAACTATATTTTAGTGGAATCGCATAATTCACGAACTTAGCTTATTGCTAGTATTCTTGAGTTTATTCCATTATGGCAATGCCATTTTGCCTGGTACTTTAATCAGGGCACTGCAACCACAAACTCAACATCAATGTAGCAATACCAAACAAAAGCTTTCACTCTGAACACTACTAAGTTATCATTACCATCCTCCCAAGAACGTCAACATACATACTTTTTTTATTAGTCACTAGTCACCTCTCCTCCACATTACTTCATTCAGAACAAGCACTGTCAAGGCAGCCTTTGTAAGAGTAGAAGAAAGTTTCTCTCTTTTTTTAAGTAGTAACTACATCTTTTCAACCCTCAACTCATACATGGCAAGAACATTTAAAAAAAATAAATTCATTTTAGTTTAGAAATCTAGCAGAATTAGACACCTAATAAGATCATGCAAAAAAATATGTCAAATGAGATTATCCATTGTTTCTTACCTAACCATTTGTAGAAGAAATAAAGTAAGACCAGCATGACACAACAGATGACAACAAATAAGATAACCGTTACAGGGGTGAAAGTAACATTTTCTTCCTTCTTCCGTCTTGTTTCTCTCTCCCCAGGACTTGCTATTGCTTTCAAATTCTCACTGTTTTAAGAAAATGACAAACACATTTACCTCAGATGACAGATTATGAAAATGTTTTACTATGACCAGAATTGTTGGTTAAAGCATTTAGACTGACAACATTTCAGTCTAATCCTTCACACCATTATTAGACTTCAAAATACATAACAGTGGTATGCTTATTGTTTAAGTTTGTCTCCATTTTTTTAATGGAGATACGCACTTCTAACCTAGTATAGATCACAAGGACAAGATTCTTAACTGCCCTCCTTTCCAATTGTGTGGTGATTGCCAACTTTAAGGAGTATCCCCAACCAAAACCTTGATCCACGTGAAGAAAAGAAGTCCTATATCAAAACTCTTAAACTCCTTTTCAGGATGCGGGCACTCAACTCTATTAGTGCATCACCTCTGATTACAAAATTTCTTGGGCTAAAAGTAGTCAACCTGGTAAATATGTCCATGATAAATCAAAATAATGGGCATCATACACTGTTTTAAAACCTCAACTAGAGACATCAAGTGTCTGCAAAACCCATTCATGTTAGCTGAACAAAGCTAGCTAAGTACTAGTTCTTTTACTCTGTAATTATGAGGTGTAAGGGTAAGTGAAAGAGAGGTGGTGTAACTGGGGATTTTCACTAGGAGTAAGATTTCTGTGCATACATACTCCATATTTATACCTCACCATGCAAAATAAGGAGACTTAAATTGTTGTGTTTGTTCTTTGAACAGATAGCCCTTCTACTCCTTAGTACAGACGCTAACACAACTTGCCCATCAGATAGCATGTTCCTGAAAAATCCCAGGGCCTACCTACAAAATGCTGAATTCAGCAGTGAAACAGCTACCTTCAAAAGAGAAAAATCCACAGGAGCAAGGCACTTGGTTAGATGAATCACCTTCTCAGAGGACATGCTTTGAATAAACAGCTTTTAAAAAAAGCTCACCCTATTATGAAAGGGCACTTTAACAAGTTTCATATAATTATATCTAGGTATTTTTCAATATGGGAGACAGCATCACATTCTGTTATTTTAGCATTCAGTGCAGCCACTCCCTATAGCACTGCAGGGTAAAAAAAGAAGCATAATCAGATCCAAACTTTAAAAAAAGAAACACACACATCCTCCCCTACTTTAATGTCTTTAAAATCACTAGATTTGCATAACTAGTGGGAAAGAGGAAGCTGTTGTTGTCACATACAATCCACTCCCTGTAGTTCTGGGGAGCAATGTGCTAGAAAACCACTGAGAAGGGGAAGCCCTAGGTAGCAACACACACTGGTCCATTCAGCATACGCAGACATCCAAGAAATACTGCAGGATAATACCATGCTCTCAAAGGCCAGCTATATCCAGTTTAACCCCAGACTAAAAACAGTTCTGTGCATTGAGTGTGCTTCAATTCACTAAACAAAGCCGCACACCCCTCAAGCACAGTGCAGAAACCCCTACTACCCCTTGTTTCCCTGCGTTTGCCACATTCTGCACTTCCAATTCCTCCCCTTCCCTGCCTCCTTGCCCATGCCTAGTCCTAAAGCTGCTATTGCCCCTGGCTCTGTTGCTCCACCAGATAACACGCAAAGCTGAAGCAGATAAACCTGGTTGGACTTTAACCATCTGGAGCCACCCAGACAACCAAACCACATTCCCCAGTGTTCCTAGTGACCGGAGTGCAGTGCAGACACATCCCAGAAGGTGCTGCACAGCCAGCTGGGATGAAGCAGTTGTACGGATCCCTGCCAACACAGACACTACATATAACTACATATGTACCTCTTGGATCACTGGATTTTAAAGGTGTCACCATAATACTCCAGTATCCATGATAGTGGGTATTTTAATGCTAGTTATAGGGTATTTGGTAACTTGTCAAAATGTTAATTTATTCTTCCTCCCAAGATCTGCATTATCCCTCAGGGATATCCCTCATTATTCCTCAACTACCAACCTAAAATAACATAATTTCTCACTGATCATAGTGACAGTTTTCACAAAATTCGTAGTCTACATAATTTAAGCAGTTCCATTTAACAAACTTACAGTTCTGCTACTCCACTCCAGTAGCCTCCTAGCGCCACTGTAAACACAGCTATCAGGAAGATGACAACCATACTGTAATCAAACTCTGGCAAAGGTGGTGAATACAGAGTCACGTTAACTTCATTTCCAAGTGTCTGAAAAATAACATACAAGTTGGTTCATAAGGACAACAAAGAAATTTTATTGTTTATTTTCCAACAAGATGCACATCATGAATTCCTGCTCTTAACCTACACAATGCTGAGAGCAAGTTTTTAACTTACTACACAAGATATCCCATATACAACGACCAAGGCAAATAAAGAAGCAATGCTTTCCATGCTACCTTTCAGGATGGTCAGGTTTGAAAATAACCCTATTACTACTGCTGTGGAAACACAGGGATCCCACAAGACAGAATGGTACCTCTTTTCATTCTTTCAACACTTCTGAAAAGTTGTGCCTCTAGCCCAAACGCTTTTCATCCCCCAAAATACCAAGTACTATCAAAGACATCTGCTCTGCAGGAAAGCGTATCTGTGTCAATCAACTTGAAATACAAACTCACAAGTTCAGTGAGGTATCAGCAGAGGTCTACTTCTAGCTCTTGGAACCACAAAACTCACAGTTCAGATACAGGCATGATGCTTCAGACAGGACACAGTGAAGACTCAAGGTGGCAGAAACTTATTTACTAACAGCTTTACACGAACACAATTTGAGATGGATCCAAAAGAAAAGAAAGCAATTTCATGCTACTTAAAAAATTTAAGACCAAAGTAAAAAAAACAATCAGCTGAAGGACACTGAAGAAGATGGGAGGGAATGCGGAGACATAACTGATACCAAATTTTACAAAAATCTTGAAAGCAAAACCAAGATGCTTCCATTTGACTGAAAGGTGAAATTTAAGAAACAAAGAAAGGATGGTAAGTTGACAGAGAATGGAAGGTGGTAGGAAAGAAAGGTTTGCTGTCGTAGTCAAAGGCATCTAAAGCAATCGTGCAGTGAAAACAGACTTCAGAGATGCAGCAGAAAAACAGATTTGTTAACAGCCTGCGTGTGAGATAAAAGCAGGAGAGGAGATGAACATGCCAGGCAGGTTTGGCTACAGGAAGATCAAACTGGCAGCAGAAAGACTGAAGGGGAAGCTGAGTAGTGTTGTGGTATACACTGGCCATATGTGAAGAAAGCAGACTCATTTCAGCATCCGAATTATCTAATTACAGATATTAACCTCACTGCAGACTAAAGAAGTCAGATTCATTCCTTTGTCTGAAGTTACAGAAGTTCAGAAAACAAGGAAGAAAATTAAATTCTAGTGAAACACTGCAGTTGTACTAAGTGGAACATAACATTAGATAAAGGCAAAAAAACCCAATCTTATTCAAATTACAGCATCCTATATGTAAAAAAAAACAAAACAAAACCCCAAACAAAACCAAAAAAAAGTGCCAAAAAAACCTCACGAAACCTAAAGGCTTATACGTTTTGAGTATTCAATTCCAACATGTCTCATTGCAGTTTTTCCTTTAAGTTTCATAAATCTCATAAAGTATAATTCACATTAGAATCTAGAGTGATTGTTTCCTTTTTTATTTCCTATTGTTCCGCTCTGCACTAAAAACTTGCGAAGTCTCAACTTCCACCACAGGGAGCACTAGAGTCAAATACATTGCATCAGAAAACAACTCTGCAAGAGAGCTGTCCACTTACTAGAAGGTTGGTAACACTCTGCTAGTGCTATCAAGACTCATAATATACCTGACTTGAATGGTGAAAGCTAACAGAGATGTCTTCTAAGCAGTGACTTGAATGGTGAAAGCTAACAGAGATGAAGTCTTCTAAGCAAGAGTAGAAAGAAAGCTTATACAAACTAGCTACCCTCAGACTGGTGCTGTCTCTTTCTTCCAAATAAAAGAAGAAAGTAGGAAGCCTTCAAGAGTTACAACGGAAATACAACTGTAGTAGGAAGAGTACAATGGCTGCCAGCTCCTAAGCAGCGTGTATCATTCAAAACAACAGCTGCCAGTGACATGACAGAAGGCTTTGGCAAAAGCTACATCAGAACTAGGAAAGGATCACTTGTAGTCTAGGCTGTATTCCTCACCACTTCTATGAAGGCAGTCTCATTATAAGACAAAACCAAATTCTTTTGATTTAACAGCAGTATGAGACATTACCTGGCGCACTGATCTATGAGCAAAGTTACTCTGGTGAATTACTATAGCTATACAGAAGTGATTCTACATGACACCAGCCCAAGCAGCACTATGCAATAAAGTGGTACAGAGAAGATTCACAACAAATCAGGGATCTAACCTTGCCCTAGTTCCCTTTCATGTTAGTAGGGCATATCTTAAAACCACTCAACTAAGCAAACAACACTTGTCTTACTCGAAGGAACAAATTTGAAGACAGAGGACAACCCAAACCAAAACACAGTATTCATCAAGACTATGGCAGACTGAGGACAGTCATCACAAACCTTCAGTCATGTCAATGCTCAGCAAGAACCAAATCTTTAATGGGAACAGACAGTAAACAACCAAAGTCCTATACATCTAGGCATGGTTTCAGTTTGCATACTTACCTAGACAACCTCCCACGGCAGCTCTGAAGATTAAGAGCAGAAATGGTGAAGCGAGCTTGCAAATTCAATCCAAGAAGCTAAGACTACACGGGTTAGTGCTAGCCTCTGCCAAAAACACGTGCAGTGGAACTCCTGCCTAGCAAAGCTATTTAACACTAAATCAAAATCAAAACAACAAAACAACAACAGAAAAAGCCACAAAGACAAGACACTGTTTTCTTGAAAACACTCTGCAATATTCTGTATCCTAATATTGCATGTCAGGGAAAACAAGCTCCAAATACCCCCAAAACAAAAAGAATTCTGTGACAAAGTGTAGGAGATGCCACAACTACCACATTTTAATGACACACGCTTGGCATCTCACCATGAGCCCATCAGCAGAAACTCAAACTATACTGCCTAACTGCTCCGGAACAAATGCTGTCATGCTATATAAAGAGAGCGCTCATCATCTGGCAGAGACAAAAAAAAACTCTCACACCTCCCTCAAGATCCAACCTGAAAGATACCATGCCAGTAGATACAAGCTCAACTGTTCTAGCTATAGCTCTTGACATGGCAGGCATCTGCAATTGTATACAAGCCTACTGGAAGGCTGTTTATCTTGTCTAGGAGGAAGACTTCTAAGATTACCCTCCCTCCAGTTCAGTATTATGTTTCTTAGTGTTCTTATTAATCATTCTCTCAGATTAATCTGAATTAGGAAGACTAGCACTTCTACAACTTAATATCCATCCCCTTCTGTGAAACTGAAAGCAGTATCTATGCACATTCAAATCACGTAGACATCCATATCTGACCTGAAATTATTTATTTGTTCAAAACCCTAAGTTTATACAAACCATAAGATGCTGAAGTTATATTACTTACCAGCTGCATATCTACTATGTCATTATATCTTATAAGAGCAACTGGAAGAGTCACATCTTCAAAATCAGTCTTGTTATCTGAAAGAGAAGACTAAAAAGAGAAAGTGTCAGTGATAAGTATGTTGAATCTATTTGCAAAGCTGGTTGGATCCCTAAAAGTAGATTATCCTTTAAATTTTGGTGTATTTGTAATGGGGGGGAAGCTCATTTATCACCTTTTGCAAAAGGTTAATGAAGACAGATGTACTTAAATCAAAACAGGTGATACTACCAACACAGCTAGATTCATAAAGTTCTTGTGCTTTTATAGTATCACAAGGGATAATCAAAACTATTTTTATTCTCTACACTTTTAAAATAAGATTAATTTTTCACGATAATCACAAATTCATAAATTGCAAGTTCTGTACATACATGTTGCAGCTGTAATAGAGAACAAAAAAGCAACAGAAGTATCTGTAAAGATATCAAAACTCTTTTTTTCCCAATTTTCATTTCCAATTTTGGATTATATTTTCCTAGCTTATTTTTGTCACATGGGTCTAAACCAGTATCACCTAAGATTACAGGGAGTTCAGAGTACACTAAAATTAGGGAATGATAACGACAAGCATTTGCATTCAGAAACATGAATAAAGATACAAGGAACAGATTAAAAATACAATTCAGCTGTAGATACTTTTAGATGCACAGAGCTAACTCAGAATGACCCCTTTGGTCTCAGGAACAGCAGTCACGCCAGCACAGCGCTCTGTGGGGAAGGTCAATGACTCATGCTGGAATCCCACTATTGCCAGGGTCATCTGCTTTTGGGGTTTCTTTCGGCTAACTCTGCACAACACTGTGTCGGAACAAATAGATAAGACGCTATCTCGCTACAGAAGAAAACTGTATGTTGTAACTTACCAGCCTAGGTTTACTGGCAATCAACAGCATTTTAGCACCCAAACTTTGTGCAATTCTTGCTTTCTCCAAAAAAGTGCAGTTTCCTCTCATCACTACAACTGCTTTGTCCTTCACTAAGCCAGAAGGAACTTCAGAAGAACTGCAGAGTACCGTAGAAGTCAGGTTTTCCAGAGTCCTGAAAGTCTGCAGAGAACAGGAAGAAAAGGAACATGATTAAAGTAGGAAACGTGATACTCCAAACAAATCTAGAAGACTACATTACCATGCTCCCTAATTTGAGGTTTGCCAGAAAGAGGTGTAACAGAAAGGAATCATTAATTCAGGAATATAAAAATCAGAGCAGCGGTTTCTGCAGCCTGCAGTACTGAGGGAAATTTAGAGCAGCATATAGCTGAAATATCTGGCTGTTTCTAAACACAATTTCACAGCAGTTGTTGCTGTAATTTTAACATAAGAAACCAGTTATATAAGAAAAAAAAATAAAAAAATCACTGCTTGTAGTTCTTGGGAATCCAGATACACTCTGTGACATTTCCAGGCTTCACAAGCCAAAAGAGCACTGACAAATACAACATAACCAGAGCTCTGAAGTATAATACTTGTTGAAAAACAGTTGGCGAGCCTGATAACATATTACTTATTACAAAAGAATTTAGGGAAAAAAAAAAAAGATGTTTCCATCCTTATTTCAAAGTTCAGTTTCATATTGACAATTATTTTTAAATTATTATCAGTTTTCTTTAGTTAGTCAAGACATCCCAGTGGCCAAAGTAGCACAGCAAAGACGTTTGGGGCAGACAAATGATTTTTACTCTGTTTACTCTGTCATTCTGCTAATGAATGACAGTAGGAATGGGAAAGAAAAGTGCCTTGATCACTTCCAAACACAAAGTATGTCCCGTTTTCATAAAGAGCGCCTAAAGAATACTTGTTTCTGCCTCACACTCTCGTTTGGCTGAAATAAACACACTCAGAAAATACAGCACGATGACACACTAGATAATCTCCTATTCAACATGTTTTCAAGACAGTTAAACAGAAGATCAAACTGATGAACCAATACAAGAAATCTGTTTTGCAAGTCTACAACATTTTTGTGAACAAATAAACTGAAGTTTTACTCCCAAATCTAAAACTCAGACATGCTGATAACATCTGAAGAAAAAAACAAACAAACCAAAAAACACAACAATATCAGCTAATATGTAAACGTATTTAAAACTGGTTCTAAGCACAGAGAGAGAGTATCATCTTTGTCAACTTTAGAAGCTGACTTTTTAAAATACAGAAGTGTTCACTACAGATATTGCGAGGGGGGCGGGGAGGGGTGCACAGGTGGGACACGGACACAACCCAAAAAGGTAAATATTCAATGTAGCAGCTATTTAACTCAAAATTTTGAAGACCAGCTATAGCTGACCCAAATTCATATTTCATTCTAGTTTTCTTAAGGAGTATGATTATAAACTACTTACAGCATTGTCCAGGCTGTTTGGAAGAGATATCCAACTAGAATTGTACATTATGCAGTAATCCTTTGTTACTGGAGGTATACCACTTCCAGAGGCATGCAGGATCCCCTCATCTGCAGTTACCTGCAATAAACCAGGGTGTCCTGAATTAAACAAAGTTCAGAATATCAGTATACAAACAATCTTCTCAAAAGCTGTTAGGAAGATAAAGAGCTGTTATGAGAAAAGGAACTTATTCAATTAATTATTTCATATAATGATTGATTCCATGAGAGATGGGTAGCTTGAGATCAGGATGGACAACTAGTAAGAATCTAGTCACTGTATAATGCTGCTTATTCTCATTTCAAATACAATGTATTTGTTGCATGTACAGTTCATGTCACCAAGTAGAATACCATCAAGAAACCCAAGGCAAATAGTTTCAGATTCTGTATCCTGTACTTCCCAAAAAGTGTCAAATTTTACATAGAAAGCAATTAAAACAGTACATGGAACAGTGGATTAAAGTCTGTCCCTCCTTGCAGACTCTAGAATTTCCCCTACTAATAAAGGTATTATATGGCAGTTCCTAGAATATTTTTTATCAAATAACTGTAAACACAAAGAGATCAACTACTGCACTTTAAGAAGAATTTGCGTAGTTAAGGAAATACTGGTGTCTCTCAAGATTACTCTCAGAGTCCCTCAGGTAATATGATTTCTGTTTTTTACTAATACACACAAATTTTAAAACTTCTGATAATTTTAGAGATATATACTTCTCCACAAGCATTAATATACCAATAAAGGTCATGTATCTAAGTGGATAAATGAACAGACTAAGGATTAGATGTAGCTACAGCTGAAAAGTAGTGAAAACAAATAAGCATCATTTGTATGTCAAAGAAGTATCACCTTAAGAAAACTGGGAGATGATCTCACTTCAACAGTTCTTCTTGAGAAAGAAACTGACCTCAATGTCAGGAAGTATCAATAGATTTTAAAAAAAAAAATTAAATCTTGTTGTAAATTCCAGGTTTGTCTGAAAGAACATTGAGATATTAGGCTAGAAGTAGGCATGGGTAAGGAGGGCAAGCCCACATACTTGTCAGATACACAATGCCAATCATTAACAGTGCTATAGAGGCAGATCTCCTCAGGCTAGCATATCAGTATTCTGCAGCACGCGAGAACTAGAGGGAAAGAAAAACATGTGATGATAGTGTTTCAGAGGTTTATGTCTGCCTGGTTTGAATAGCAAAAAACCTTCTTCAGAGGAATCCATTATATTGGCCATAGCGCATGAACATCTGCTGGGAGAACTGTGTCAAAGGGCCTGAGCACGTTAACTGTTTAACATACAACAGTTCTTCAGCTGTCAGCTAAATAAGTTCTTCCCTGATTTATGATCAGCACAAAAAATATCAAGCTTCCATCTTAAGGGCACTCACCTAAAAGTACAAACTAATGGCAAATTAAAAGCAATAAAGACTTCCAACGGGTGCAAATCCCAGATGTTTCCATGCATTAAAAGCTCTTTCTGCTTCATGAAATAGAATAAGAAGTGTTTTCTGGGTTCCAGGAAATCAAGTGTTAACGCTACACAAGTGTAAGTCTACCTAGAAGGAGTGATTACTTGCTTATTTGACAGGCGTGTTTTGTTTGGCAACTTCCCTTCTCTGAGGATGAATCGAGGAACACAATTCTTGCTCACGAGGTGGGAAGAGGGAGGACCAGAGCATGACATTTACCCTCATGTATTCATTGCTGAGCTCTAAACACAGCATTCAGAACTTTTATTATTTTCTAATCGCTTCACTATCCTTTTTTCACAACAGAGAAGGGCTACTAGTTTGGGTATGTGACCTTGCAGTCAGCTGTGCCGCCAAATAGTACAAAACAAATCTTACTCTCAACATACGTGCAAAGTAAAAATTTCTTACTGGACACATTTTCAATCTTGTTACTTAAGTAGAAGGGTATGTCCGCAAAACCACTCCTGAAAAGATTAACCTGCTCTCATAGGCTGACTTGCTCCAGCATAAAAATGTTCCCACATGGAGTAGAGGCGCGACAGCTGTCCTTACCTAAAGGGGCATCATCATCGTCTCCTTTCACTTCAGGTTCAGACAATTCCCAACAGTCCCCCACCTTCAAACAAATTTCTTCCTATTTTTGTCAGGGGGGTTCCCCTCATCTTATTTCCTTCCTTTACCACCTTTAAACTTCTCTTGCATAATTCCTTATCATTGATAGAGAAGATGTCTCATACTGTCTCTTAATTGTCATTTTTCCTAACACATCCCTATCACTGCTGGGATATAAGCTTGGGCTGACTGTTGAGCTTTGGAGTGCACCAGTAACCCCACCACATAGAACACTGGAAGTGATATGAACCAGTAGACACAGAAACCAAACCAAGCTGATGTTTACAATATCCGTCACAATTAGCATCTAGGTAAGACATACGAAAAACTCAAAGGTACAGAACAGGGAGAAGATATTTTGCATGCAGCAAGTAACAACATAAACCACAGAGAAACATAAAAAGATAGGAAAAAGCTAACCATGAACAGAACAAGCATCATTTCGTAGTTTTGCCAGTGGCCCTGTGACACATGCAAACTGTCACTCCTTCCCCCACTCCAAGCATTGTGACCTAGGGGAACCAGTGCCCATGCTCAGAGAGCAGCAGTGATCCGTCACCAAACACCTACTACCTTCCTGAGCGCTAACTCCCCACGCTGTTAGCCTCAGCATACTGTTCTTGAGGCTGAATGACCTTGTCTAACGCTCAACACTGCTCAACTGCATTTGTAGAGCAGAGGAGGAGGCAGGACACCGGGCCTGGAGTCTTACAGGGCAAGAGAAGCTCCTTCCTTTGTCAGCATCAGCAAACCATTGTGTTAAGGAGCAAAGCCACTCTTCAGAAAACCGCAACATAACTAATGACAGCTAGTGGGACTCACAAACAACAAGGGAGCACTTTGTAGAGAGACACAAGCTACTTCACCCAAAAGATTCTCAAGGCACTAACTGTGCTGTGTACTTGCTGTTGAGCATATCCAGTGGTGACTTCCTACACAGGCAAGTACTCTGCATCCTGCCTTACCAAAACAAGGTAGAAGTTATATTAAAAATAAGTACGCAAACAAACCAACCAAAACAACATAGTGGAGGAGCATTTAATGCAGGTACTCCCCTCATACTGCTTAAGCAGACCACAGAGGTTTCTGGCTTCCCCATTTCGCTACTCCATTAGACAGAAGGCAGACAATCAGATTTCCAAAGCAATACACACCTGTATGCAGAGAGAAACTGAAAAGATGTCCTATACAGGAACCAAAACGGCACTTAAGATGGAACAAGCCAAAAGCCAGGACACATACACACACCACGAGGCTCTCCGCCTTCCCTCGCACCCTAATTTAAACACCTCTAGAAACAACATCAGCATTTATCCACACAGGCACCCAGGAGATTTGTTATCCAAACCCACCAACGCGTGACCGGAGCCCGGGCCCGGCCTGCGCTCCCCGGGCACAGAGGAGAGGGCAGGGCCTCGGGGGAGGGAACCGAAGGCCCAGGAGGCCCGAAACCACCCGGGACACACTTCAGAGCCAAACCGCCCCTGAGGCGTTTGGAGGCGGGGCACACATC